GAGAGAGAGAGAGAGAGAAAAAGAGGTGTGTGTGTGTGTGTGTGTGTGTGTGTGTGTGTGTGTGTGTGTGTGTGTGTGCGTGTGTGCGCGCGCTGCCGCACTTTTTTCAGTCGGGCCACTTCGGACGACCAGAAAGCCAACAGACTGTCACGCAGGATTTTGAATGTGATTGCAATAAATAAAATAAATTAAATAATGCAAATCCCTTCCTATTGTGTGCATCCGGCTTCGAGCGAGATCCTTCAATTGCGATCTTTGTCGGTCCCCTGTCTTAGGAATCTTTTATTTTGATTCGGAACAGCAGAGAATCATGCAAATAATGATCATAAAGTTATGAGGTGCTATGCATGCATCAATTGTCAATTTGATTTTGAGAACCGTGACAAAACATCCACGAAGGCAATCATCGAGCAAGAATAATGCAGAAAATAAAACTGACTGACTCGAGCAAAGACAAGGATAATTGAATGAGGGAAGAATGAGAACTCATAATAATCTCAGAAAGTACATGTAGACGGGCATGGTCAGCACGTCTCAAGAGTCCTCACTCATCCCTTTGGTCAGCCTCTCACAATCTCTCTTTTCACTGATCTTTTCTGGTGCCGAGACCCACGCCCGCGTACAGTTTGAGACTGGGGATTCGTGACAAAATGTCACCAATAGCCAGCAAGCTCTGAGCACGACCATCCGAGGCACATAACATGGTAATTAACCATAGAGCAAAACTCCTCCCACAATGTAGGCAGCCCGTCTACTGAAAAGACCCCTCGTCTGAGGTAGGGATACTCAGTGGGCTCAGTCAACGCCTCAATGTCGATCACCGCAGGAGAGATGTACCTCTTTGCCAAACCGATCACATCCAACCAGCTCGTGCCATCAGTGAGAAGAGAAGGGACCGGAGGCCTAGGATAGTCAGTATAAAGCGACGGCCCGAAGCTGCGGATCAACGTAGTACCACTCTCATCGAGCTCCCTCTCTCTGTGCTCAAGATAATTGGTGGCTGAGATCCAGACCGGATCGAAACGTTCATGAGCCTCCTTGCCCTTCTTCAGATAAGGCCTCAGATCGTGAATAGTGCCATCAACAAAACTGGTCTGGACAACGAAGATTGACAGATCTCCCTGTCTGAAACCAACGACACTAACATACTGATCATGAAATGCCTCTTTGCATGAGATCCGGTTGAGGTTGGCCAGCACTGACTCACTGACCGGCGTAGAGTGAACCGTGCTCATAAGTACTCCTGCTGGTGCAAACTGACCAGATGGTCTCGTAGGACTAGTCGCCAATCTAATAGCAAGAAACTGATTGCTGAAAACTGATTACTAGGAACTGATCACTAATAACTGACTGCTAATGATTGATTACTGATTAAATGATTGCTGAATGTCCAAGTACGTGAACTGTCCTTGCACAGAAACAAAACTCTCACGGGTGGTTGCCAACAGCCCTCCTTGCCTCCTCAACAGTACCCTCAGAAGTCATGATGGCACATAATTTCCCATTCTTGTCGTGCAGAAAGTATGTGTACTCGATTTTTTTATGACCTCTCACAAGGGACAGTGCATGTTCCATCATCACGGTAGTCTGTCGGTTGTACTCCTCGACTGCACTTTCCCTCCAAGTCTCCGCAGTACTCTGATATAGTGAGCAAGAGACTCTAACCGTGTTGTTGCTCTCCATATCTTCATCGGACTCTCACTGCATCAGTTATCACAACTCAAGACGGGTGACTCTTGGATGATCCGGGTATGAAAAGGGGGTACTGAGTTGACTGCTGAACTGCTGAAGGCTGGTTGTTGATAACTAGCTGTTGTTTCCTGAATGCTGCCTCTTGAGGCTGATTAGGAGACTTGTTCAACTACTGATCAGGAAACTGACTGCTTGCTGTTTTGAAGACTTGATCGCTCTCTGTTCTAGAAGACTGATTGCTCGTTGTTCTGGAAACTGACTGCTCGTTGTTCCAGAAATTGATTACTCGCTATTCCGAAAACTGAATACTTGCTGTTCTGGAAGCTAATTACCTGTTGTTTTCAGAATATTTTCCCTTAAGTGTTGCTTCTGAAGACCGAGTCTGAATGTTGGGTCCGAATGTTGGATCTGAATGTTGGTTCTGAATACTGCTTATAAAAGTCTATTGCCGTTTGAGTTGACTGGTTGCCGATTAAGCACAGATTGGGTAGTGACCAAATCCACAGTTTATTGTCGTTTTGAGCA